CCCATCAGTGCAGCTAGGATATAGACCCAAACGACACGTTCGACCAGCTTAGGTAGGGCCCAAACTAGTCCCACGACCACTAATGATTACAGAGCCAAACCAAGGCAATATATATACACAGCCCAGGTGTGAATTCACTAGTCCTTTTGTTGTAATTATATTATAAATAACTATTTTAATATGTAAACAAGTCCTTGACAACATAGCTAAAAAAAACAAATATTAATTTGTCTAGGACAAAATACTAAATGCTAATACATCGCAAAAAACCTCAGTAAACACGGACAAAGACGAAGAGACTATTTTTAAGCAGGAAGTCTATGGAAACTAGTTTAGTGAATTGAAATGTATTTCTCGTCAGAAATTTCGGGGCTTCCCCTATGAAATTAAAATTTGAAATTTAATGACGTTGTTACGAATCAGTGTAAGCTTATTATTGCTATACGTTTAACGGTGTTTTCTTTATCACATAATTTCTGATTTTTTTCCGATTTTCCCGATGAGTGTAATGTGGGCGTATTCGGTCAAAATCTGTCAGAGGTGGTTCTGGGTGGCAAATCCTCCGTAAACTATGACAATTTAAGGATTTTATAGGCTATTTAAAATGTCTTTCCTCTCTAAAGAACTGTTTTTTTTCCCCCTCAACAACCGGGGAGACGGGTGCTCTATCTCCCCTCTCCTTTGTCGCCACCCCTGATTTGTGTCTATTTGTGTTAGCTCCGAACATAATTATATCTAGGCTTATTCTTACATAAAAGGAGTGAAATATAAAGTGGTGGTAATAACTCAATAACAAAATATGGGGTCACGCCAATATCAAAATGTACAGTAGTTTCATGTGAAACTACTACAAATATCATCATCATGGGCGCGCAATGTATGTATCCCAGTACAAGTTCATGTGACGAACGCAAAACATACCCTGCACGCTACTGTAACATCCCTGGACTGACACTAGTCTGTGAAGTGTAATATATTACAATCAACTCATTATACAAGCCTTACTGGATATACTGTACAAACTGTTGTGGAGAATAGGAACACCAGATTTGCGACAATTTTAATTAGACCAATAATAATTTAAATGTATTGGTCTATAGGGCCTGCAAGACTAAAACGAACATCCACTTAAATGAACATTCGCTCTTCTTTCTTGTGGCAATTTTGAAATGATGATTTATAGTACTTGAAATAACACTATTTGAAAGAACAAAATATATTTCTCACATCACGTTTAGTCTTTAATAAAAGTAACATTCAAACACTGGTTATGTGTCATGTTTACAAAACAACTTTTTGTGGCATTAAGCAAGGCACTCGCTACCTCGTACGACAATGACATGACGAATTTAACTCCGCTCCATGTAAGCGCTAAACGACGCGACGCCGTCTGCCACTTTTTTCTGGCAGTCTGAATCGATCCGCATGCGTGTGCGTCTTCGCGTTGCGTTCTTCAGAGAATCGCGTCGGCCAGCGACCGTCGGGCGCTGCGAATGCCCAGCTTTATGTATGTATTATTAGTAATGATAATGTATTCAATCCATCACATAATTGTGCAGCATTATTTATATTTTAAACTACGAAATGGTGGGTTAAGAAACACATTTCAGATGTTTCGAAACAGAAAACCGTTTATTACAACAGAAAAAACTTTCGTCCGTAATCTTTAGGTACTCTCAAACTAAATCTTAACTCCATTTTAATTCATACCTGCACGTGCCCTTTCATGAAATACACCAGATAATGTGTTATGTACATAAAATATTGACAAAAACAACTATATAACTGTCACAGAAGTATACCTTGTTCAATAAAATTACCGGTATTTGTTAACGAAAAAATGACAAATTTTCAAAAAGTTTTTTTTTTTGGTTTTTTTTGCATTGATAATAAGGGCCTATATAAGATTTAAATAAGTTAAAAGAGAGACAAAATAAAACGCAGATATTTCAGACAGGCAAAAATTGCAGACTCTGGTTGTAGAGATGATAATGTATTACAGGGACTACCTTAAAAATTAAACATCACCACCAATACCACCAGGTATACAGAAAACATCATACTAAAAACCATCATAAATAGTCTCGCCACTTGAGATTTAAGATAGGCCTAGATATAAAACCATTCAATGAGTTAACACACTAGGAAATATACAAATACAATATTTGGTTATTTTTCAAAATGTTGTGTCATAATGTACCTACAAGCCTTTTTATACATCAACGATAACGATAACGATTAAAAAAAATTGTTCGTATAGAAAACAAAAGAAATAAGTGAAGTTTTTACACTAGGACGATTCGATAACGATTTATCGTGTATACAACAAAATGTTTTAACAAATCAAATCAGATGACGTCATAATTATGGAAAAACAAGAAAATCGTTGCTACTACTACGATTTTAATGTCTTCCATGATTGTGACGTCATCTGATTTGTCAAAATTATGTTGTTAACGCATAACAGATAAATCGTTATCGAATCGTTCTAGTGTAAAAACTTCTTATTTCTTTTATTTTCTACATGAACAATTGCTTTTTTATTTTTATCGTTATCGTTATCGTTGAAGTATAAACAGGCCTTTATACTGTACTGAATTGAGGACACTGTGATTAATTTACAGTTGGTGCTACATGATATTGAAGCCGGTGTGGGTTAATTGACATCAATGCATATAAAACAATGTTGAACACAGAAAACTTTAAATAATAAAACCTGTATTCACAAACCAACAGATAAACCATCGGGGTGATTTGTTGTGGTCATACATGGAGACCTATGTATTATGAAACATGTATAACTATAATAATTAATAGGCTGAATAGCCATCTTGAAAGCACTGCACACTTATATCAGCTAGCGACTTTGGAAAGCTGAATAATAGAGGGCGCCATTTGAAAATAGCTTTGAAAATGCTACATAAAATATTACGGAGACCTTATAAAACTACACAGTTCTATATACACCACTTGTGAAACAATGGTCAAATGAGCTTTTTAACAGTATTTACATATTATAGCTCTCTACTCTTCTTCTAATGTACTATCACATGGTACTATGTAGACATGGAGGCATACCTTCATCAGGGAGGTAAAGAATATCATTCTGTATCCCTGCCTTCATGCTACTATCTAATCATGTTGATGCTATATACTATCATATGGTACTACAGTATGTACTATCACATGGAAGGTTTAATATTGAAAGCACAGCACTATCAATGGCATTGGTATTGGTTTATTTAAAGTACTATCATATGGTACTATATGAATCACAAAGGTACCATGTACTATCTGATATTACTATCATGGTACTGTGTGGTATTGTACTAGAAATCATTGTACCAAAACTGTTCATAAAATTCCCTGCATCAAAAAATCGTGTTCAGTAAAACATCAAACCTATTCTCTAGATGGAACATTAAAACCTAAACTTCTAACTACCACTGTGAAATAACAATCCGATTTGTTCAATTGTATAACAATGAATAATAATGCAATAATATAATTATTATAAAATAATAACTATCTAATATTTATAGGCCTATTTGATATAATATTTCCAGAGCAGAACCTTACCATATTACATAAGTTGTTTTATATTGTATTTTTTCCTATTTTTATTCTACTCAAGCTATTTCTGCTTTTTATTTTCATACACACGTTTCTATTGTATTTTTTTCTACTTTTATTCTACTTGTGTTATATTTCTGCTTTCTTTTTTACAAATATTTCTACTGAATTGTTTTCTATTTTTATACTACTCCTGTTAGATTTCTGCTTTTTTTTTTTTTTTTCTTTTTTACAAATGTATTGTATTTTTATATACTGTACATTTTTTTTTTTCATTTCCGTTTATTTGTTTTGGATAGAGACAGCTTTGGGAAACTAAAATACCTCTTACTGTACAGATATTTTCGTAACAACTACATTTAAAAGAATCAAACAGTAATGTTCCGACAGACACACATTTAAAAATAACCAACTATTTTTTTCATTACTCTTCTACACAAGTCAACATAGCATGCCCTGTTTAAAATTCTTTCAAACAATTGTGTCACTTAAACTATGCTTTAAAATTATGATGTCAATTATTCCTTAAGAAGTACTAGATTTCTTAACAGTAAATTCAGATGATTAATTCTCGTTACAGCTTCATGAGTACTTTACAAATGTTTTTTCTTTACATCAAGATGACATAAACATGAAAACAACCAAAAACACATTATTAATTCTGGTTGTTTTTACTGATACTTATAGCTATCGGTAGATTTCGCATAAATTAAATCAGCCAGTATTGGCGCGGAGGGGGGGGGGG